CCTTAGAAACTCAAGGAGTGGTCCCTATGAGTTGGACTCGACTCCATGGCAGTGAGTTTTCTGGAGATCCTGTGTGAGCTTCCAGGAGACAAAAGAGATGTCTAATATTGTACCAAGGAGTAGTAATGAAAATAAAAATAAAAGCACCCAGGTCCTCACCCATTCAAACATATACTTTGTTCAAATTCTCATCAGCAGCATTCCAAATAAATAAAGCCTCTTCTCATTTGTATCTGCTAGCCTCACTTCACACATGCACCAACCAGTAAAGTCTACAAAATTGCTACAATGTATTTTAAATAGCAAAGAAAAACATGCAAGTCAGCTAGCTTCTCTGCCTTGTTGTTTCCTCTAATATAAATTCTGATGCTTCACTCTCCCTGTAACTGTCCAACTCTGAAGATTTTTCTGTGCAAAGCTCTACTTCTGAGTGCTGTGGGTCACCACTCTTGCTCTAGATGCCCATTGCATAATTCCCAAACACACTGTTTTCAGAAGAGGAAAAGAAAAGTCTTCAGGAGATTGATTCTCCTGTAGAGAAACAAATACCAGGTTAATAGGACAAAGGAAAGTAGAGAGAGGAAAAACAAGAGGAAGAAAGGAACACAGTTCTCTTCTGTTTAAAGAAACAAAGTGACTAAAAATAAATTCATTTGCTTAGGAGCCGGCAGAGCTTCCCACAGGTGGAGGTGATGGAGGCTGTTTCTACCTCCAGGATAAACAGAAGCAAATTCATGTTCTTCATGCTAAAAGGACATGTTAGTCATACAGATTTTACTTATTCATACTGACAGAGCAAGGTCCCAGAACTTCTGAAAAGAGAGAGAAAAAGAAAAAGGAAGACAAGAGAAAGGGAGCGAGGAAGGGAAGAAACCAACCAATCCAAGAGCTATTCTTCCAACATTCTCTCCCACTTCCACCCTGGTAATCTAGGTTACCCTTTAGGCTACCCTGAGATATTAATAGCATTCATTTCCTTTCTCAGGCCAGAGTTTACTGCTTTGTTTCCTGGGTCCAGGGGAAAGAAGTATTTTTAACACATTTCATTCTAAATTTGAGTTACTACAAAACTGGCTCTTTGAATCAACCATGGAACAAAAAAACCACTTCAAATGACCAAAATGTGTTTGCTATTACCACATTTTCAAATTAATCTAGTCAGACCAGAAAAATGGGACTTTTGAGTAGCTATTTCCTTTCTAGTGCATAGCACAGCCCCAGGTCTTTGCACCTGTGTAGGCTGAAATCCAGGTGAACATTTACACAACGACCTGGATGAGTACTGAGCCCTATGCAGGACAGCCCAAGGGTTTCCTGGATAAAGGGCACCTTCAGTCCCTAGATAGAAATTAAGAGGCATTTCTCCCAAATTGGACCCCACCCTTTTTAAAAAAATAAAAAGCTACACAGAGACAAAGAAACAGAAAAGGTTCTGCCTAGGATAGCTACCTATCTAAGGCCAGTGCATGGGGCTTTGCAGCTAACAAAGCCTAGAGGATCAGATGAACAGTGTGGCACACAAGCAGAGCCCTACCTCTCACCCTGACATCACAACTGAGCTCAAAGGCACCAGTCTGAACCTGAACACTTTTCTACTAGAGTCCCTACCAAGCTCACCTTGTTGTCATTGATTCTAATTCAAGGCGACCCGATATGTACAGAGGTGAAGGGCACCACAGGGATTTCAAGGCTGTGATCTTTCAGAAGCAGATGGCCAGGCCTGTGTTCTAACACCTCTAGGTAGGTTTGAACCACCAACATTTTGCCTAGAAGTTGAATGCTTAACCTTTGCTCCACCTAGGGACTTCTAAGCTCACCCTAACATCCCTGAATTCAGCAGAGACAAGCCAAAAAAAGGAATGGAAGCTTTGGCGAGAAACCATCAAAAGGAGAATATTCCTCACAGGAGATATCAAGCTCAATTGGCATAACACACGACACAAAACATTGTTCCACCTCCTACTTTGGCGAGTAGCGACTGAGATCTTAAAAGCTTGCAAGCAGCCATCTAGATGCAACAATGGGTCTCTCC